ACCATAAGGAAGACCTCGTATAAGACAAGAGCTCACTGGAAGAACCATTGATTCTAAATGAACTCGGTTTTATTTGGAATTATTTCAGAAAATGATAAATGCCTCTTTAATTTTCTAAAAAGCATCCGGCAATCTGAATTTCGAATGGCTCGGTACGTTTGCCGGGAACATTTGGATTTATCTTGAGAAGAGGTTTCCGTGAGACTCGGTGCGGTAATGCCAGTAGTAATGCGTTTCGAGTAGAAGCGCAAGCTGGCGAAAAGAAAGTTTTCCTGAATTCGCAAAATACGTAAAATATGTAAGTTAGGCAAGGGAGAAAGGATGCTGTTGAGTGGCCATTATGTATAGAGCAAGGGAATGAGCGAAGCCGCGAGGATAGTAATCGATGGATCCCACTTAGGATATCGAAGTTAAATAATCGATGCACCTACCGACCGAAAGGAACCGGAGATAAAGCGGTCTCCGGAGAATCTGTAGTAGGGCATGCATTAAAGACCGTTAAGAATAAGAAACGAGTTCTCCTGAAATAATCATTGACGGTCGTTTAATCTGCGAAACTGTCGATCAAAGTGATCTTGCAACTGAGAAATCCCATGGGAATTAGACGACTTTCAGGTCGAGAGGAGTATCGTTTCCGTTGAAACGTTCCCTCGACAAGGAGATTCCGTCGGATGAATGTTGCATCCATCTGTTCGCAGCTTATTTTATATGCGGCAACTCCGAAACGTTCGTGTAATTCATAAACCGTTTTCCTTGCCCGAGTACCTTTTCAACCGAGCCACGGATGATTCATGCAAGTTTGTATAGCGGCGATCCCGCTTATAAATATTCAAAAGCGTACACGCAAACAGTCGGCTTTGAAAAATTCAGGAAACCTCCCGTTCGAAATTTCCTTTACCTTGAAAACTCGGTGTGTCGCTTAACGCGGGGCATTTACATACTTGGATCGCCTCGAGAACTGACCTGGGAGACGTAAATCGAATCGGAGATTCTGGAAATATCGGCCGGAACGAATCGATTATCGTAAGCCGATTAATAATTTTGAGAACGCGCTCGCCGGAGGCTCTCGCATTCTCATCACGGTGAAAAATATTGACGTGTGACGCGAGCGGAAATAGTTTCGCTCGGAACGGTTTCGACCGTACCAATAGGGAATTACAGATGAAATTCGTGTCAAATAAATCATATTAAATTTCTGGGTATAATTAAACTGTCGCGTTGCTCGCGCTCGTTTTCCCGCAACGTGGATTTACTAATTACGGATCTCTGCGCGTTGTACCTCTGTTCGTCGCGACTTTAAATAACGCTACGCGTTTTCAAATACGTACGACTGAAAAGTTAATGGACAAGTACTGCTTATCGCCGTCGAGATACGCGTTTATCCGGCTGAATAAGTATCCGGCGTTAATAGGCGCCGAACAACTTGGCCGTCTCATTGGAAACCAAAGACCCCGTCTTCTTCGTTAGAATCCTGTCGGTACGTGACACTGACCAACTTGATCCCATGTCTTCACGGAATGCTGTCTTTGGATCATTTCTGTTCTCTAGTTGAAGCAAAGTTTGAAACGTTACGAGAACGTGGTATAGAATGAAAAAAATCGTATACAAACCGTACACATATGTATTCGTTAACAATATAGGAAGGTAACTCGTACGTGGTATCTATAATTTTCAGTAATGCGGTATAATTGACTGTGTAGAACCACGAAACTGGGAATATCGGAACTTGTTCGGTTAACAAGGCGCATTGTTATTAAACGATAATAAATGGTTGGTATAAAATACGGCGCAGACAACGAACAACGGTTGCGCGGAATTCACCCGTAACAACGTTTTGCTTTATTTCCAAAGAATGTATTTAATTGAGCCGCGTCGAGGGCCATTCGGAATCGAATTTGTTATTCAGAGAAAACAGTCTGACGAGTATCGATGTTCGATATCTTGCGAACGGAAGTGGAATAAGAATTCTTGACTTTTCATCGTTCCATGTTATTCTCCGGTATACTTTTTTCGAATTTCGTTCTAAGCACGTGACCATGAGGACCTACGGTGCACGTGCTCACTACTCATCGTCGCATAAGTCGAGCATGCATACGTATTTCCATTTGCTGTTTCGTGAAACCGGGGCAACACGTCCTCCCAACATCGTTAAACGTTCGTTCGACTTTATCCAGATAATCTGAATCGAGCGGAGTAATTGAAATCGTATGGAATTACGTGGGGCAGCCGAATTGATCTCATTTAGAGCCACTCATCAAATCCTAGGAATTCTGTCGATCTTTCGCGAATCCACAGAGACGGCGTATCTGCCTTCGATTCTTTCTTCCGTCGGAAGAGGAAAAATGCTTCTATTCGTTTTGATGGCTATGAAAAGTTGCACCAGGCAGTGCAACAATTATTGCACGGAGTACCGTGTACGTTGGAAAGCAGAAATATTTTTATGATCGGAAGCTCTCTTAAATTTTTGCGAAAGTCGATAAGCCGGGGCTTGATTCCGTACAAGTTTTATTCGAGATATAAAATCAGCCGGCAGGGGAGGCGAGCCGCGTCCCGAAGAGGAGATCTCCTCCTCGTTATTTCGCGTAAAATTCGCGAGGTAGAACCGCGGGACCTGAGAACGATGCGAGTCACGCGATATTCTGTTTTCACAGCCGGCAACTGTTCGCGAAAAGCTCGCGATTTCGCGGTACTTTTAACACAGGAAATTCGCCTCGACGCGAAGCGACGGCGAGCTAAACGGATTTGGGATTCGCCCGACGAGAATATCGTCGCTACGGAAGAGATAACGAGTCTACGTGGATGCTGTACATAAAACGTGGCCGCTTATTGTTACCTGCGACCATGTTTGCGATGTAAAAGCACTTGCAGCTGACAATAATACGCGAGCACCGCGGATGAATGAAATGTTCACGAAGCGGGTCTCTATTGATTCAACGAATTTTATGTTAATGCCCTTAGGAGGAAAAATTGCTGGGGCTATGATACGGGTTAGTAGTTGGATAAAAGAAATCTTGTTCTTCCTGTCTTGATACCTTTCGAGTGTAAGTGCAAGCGCTTGTAAGACGAATCTTACGTTTGTTCGTAGACGAATGTTTTCAAGTGTACGTGTGTTGGAAAGCTTCGCTCGAGGACTCTCCAAGGGACTTCAGACGAGAACACGGGCAGTGACGGTCTTATACATATACGAATGAAAAACAGGACCGTGTAAAACCCTGGCATCTTTTTCCCCTTCGGTCGTCCGATCGAGGTGTCCCAAACAAAATATGTCGCGATCATGCAATTTAATATTTCGTTCGTCGAAAAGAGTAAAGCCGACGGACCGTCCTCTCGTCTTTTAATCGAACCGACCCACCCCTTTAACGACGTTTCTTGAATCGCTCCCATCTTTTCCGTGCCCCGCTCGTTCCAACTTTAAAGTACACAGGACGATAAGCTAGCTTCGGGTTGAAAAATAATTGTTAACTTTCAACGTGATACCACGGTGATCGTGAAATACTCGGAATTGCTCGCCGAATTAAATGTTACTTCGTTCGAAGATTATAATAGAATCCGTGTATTATCGCGGCGCGAAGATTAAAACATTGAGATAAGATAAAACAGAGAATGGCCACCGTGTGTCCGATGCCGACTTTCGACGAGTAAACGTTAACGTTTTGACGAATTCATGCGACATCGTCGCATTATCATAGGTCGACGCGTCCGTCGGTGAATGGGGAAAAAGAGAGCAGGCTTGATTACGAATTCACCTGTAGCTCTATTTGCCGGCAAGTACGCACGCGTGTAACCGCAAACTAGTATCAAACTTTATTCTGATCGAATTTGTTCCCAACGAGCCGAACGTTCAAATTACCTCCAGGATAAATTATAAATGCTATTCCCTTCGTTTACTCTACTCGGTAAATTCGGTATATGATCTTCTCAGGTAGACAAACTTTGTTCTTAGTTCCGCAGGGTTCCCGCCGCTACTTTCGTCTACCTGCGAGTTAAATTTGCAGTCCGGTTTAAGTGCCGTAATAATCTTTTATATGGCGCGTACCTTACAAATAACCATTTACGTTCCTCGTTTCGAGTATTGTTCACTCGCTTCGCTATTTCCTACTCAAGGATGGCCGTAGTAACGAGAACGATCGTACGTAAAACAAAAAAATATATACAGTAAGAACGTTTCTCGCATCGAAACGTCGCGTTCGCAAGTTTTTCAAAAGAGGGGGGAAAAAAAGAAGGAAAGCAAACAAAGTTCCGTATCGGTGGTAGTGCGCAGTGAAAAAAAATCTTGTACGCCAGCGTCGTCGTAACGACACGCTGCTGCGAAATGTACTAAGTACTTACACTCGACTGCCTTTGAAACCGTTATAAAAAGGCCGAGCGACGGGCCACTGGAACACGCTATTAAATAGGCCGAGTTGCTAGACGGAAAATGATTAATCGCCGTGAAACCGTCTTTTCACCATGGAAGTTACTCTCGCACGACAAACGCTATCAATTGATACTTTCCTACACGCACTGTCCGTCGCTATTTCCGAATTAAACGGTTCTGCTTTGCCTCTAGCCATATCGGAACTTCGTTGGCTTTCCACTGAGTAACAATACTACTTCTATTAACAATAAACGAAGCCAGCGTGGCTGATTATTCTCACAAAAGTTAGCGATGTTTCCATGACGGTATATCAACGGTTCCAAGATACGGTCTAACGACAGTTTTACCGTAGGTAGGTGATGAATCATTTGTATAAGCTGCTTTTACGCATTATCGTAAAAAGTACGTATACCTACTGTGAACGATGATCTCCGAAAAAAGGGCTCGCGACATGCCGATGGCACGTAAACACAACACTTAGCACTTGGTGCGTTGATGAATCAGTAACGAATCAAACTGCTACGAATATTTTGTTCGAAGAAAACGATCTCCGTTACATACGTACGTACGGATCAGTACGTAGAAAGTAAATAGTACCGAGACGAAGATGTGATACGTATAATAATGTATCGAATGAACTTACTCTGCGGGTAGTACAGAATCTAGGAAGGGTGGTACTGCTGGCAAAGTGGGTAGACACGGTGGTGGAGAACCGGTAAGTTGTTTCCATAGGATACACGAACATCGGGCGGCACGGAATTCACGCAGTGATCCTCGTTTGTGTTGCTCGTACGCCTAAGTACCGCCGTCCACGCGTTATGTACACGCACCGTCATTCGGCGAAAATCCGGAGACTATTTTCCGACGACGACGTGTATCCAAAGTACTCAGGGATCACGGCATGATACGTAGGACACGATATGGTACAGCGAGGCAAGGCACGACACGACACACGACACGACACGGCACGGCATACGACACACAATACACGATACGGTACGACACGAGATACGCTCTGAGAAATGTAAGGAAAATTGTAAAACGGAGGCACTACCTCGAGGAAGTAAGAACGTTGGAATATGTTAGCGACGGCGGGGGCTACGGATTAATATGGCCGTCCCTCGTTGACACAAAGTTTCGAGTCACGCGTGAAACGCAACCCCGACGAGATACGAAGAACAGGTTGATCGGGATATCGTTGACGAGAGAGAGGCTCGTTCGCGTATGACGCGCACGCATTTGTTTCACTCGCGGCACCGCATACACCACCCGCGGATTCTATTTAATCACCTCACTTCCGTATCACCCTGTTGTATTCGACACGCGCTCGGCGACAACTTTTCTTCGTTCCCTCCGTTTCACCTCTGCTCTTTGGCAAACTGTTCGTCGGCTCCTCTGTCCGTCGCATACGATTCCCTTCAAGCTCTCGGTGGGCACGTTCCTCGCTGGCTCTCCCTCTCTTCGTTCTCCTCTATACCGTTCGTCGTCGTTTTCGTCGAGCACTGCGAGAGGGATCTTGCGAACACAGCACTCGCGTTTCCGATTATCAACTGCTAGTTCCTCGCTGCAACGTGTTCTCCTACGAGCGCACCACGGGAACCGTGGAAGCATTCGAATGATCACGTTCTTTTCACGCTTCTCCAGGACGTGACGCGGCCTTGCTACGAACGACGTCAACATCACCACAGTACGCTTTCATGACGGCCATCTTTTCGGAATACGCGAACGCGAATCGCGGAACGGGAAACGCACACGCGTGTATACTTCCAACACATGCATAAACGCGCGACCGCTCGTCTACGTGCACGCGGTGATCGAGAGCGAGGGAGACACTTGTGCTCACGCACACATGCACCATTTGACCGAGCCAGCCTGGATATTTGAATAGCGAGCAGCAAGCGAACCGGACCGAACAGGGAATTGCAGGGAATGGTTGACGTTTCTTCTCTAACTGGGGAGTATAGCGCTGCGCTCCGATCTAGGAACTTCCATAGTGGTGAGTGGCGCTGCTGTTCCCGCGCGGCATTTTTAACGAGTCTCGTTCGTACTATGAGAGTATACTTCGGACAGACGTTTTGTTCCGAGGAATCGCTTTTGCAAATATATTTTATTTATTCGTTTTGACTGTATTTTCATGGTAACAGTATACCTTAACATGTAAACAATATGTGTATCAAATATTCTTGTATAAAATTAAATTTTCCGTGTACAAAACTTGAATATCTTCCAGTGAAAAATATAACGTTTATACAAAATCTGTTCCATGTCTACTTCCCTTTGCGCGTTTGCCCTGAACCAACCGTAAGTGCACCGGTTTTCCTTTGTACTTGCGAAGACGTGTAGCGTTCAAAATGGAAGTACATTCTGTACGCGATATTTTTCTTTTCCATCGGAATAAACTTTTACAACTTTAACACTTCTTGGACGGCAGCGACGACCTTGGTCGAACTGATTCCGTATTTGTCTAACAACATGGTGGGTGGGCCAGAGCGAGGGATTTCGGTAACAGCTAACTTCTTAACTATGATGTTTTTTTCTAAAGCGACTGCCGAGAGAACCGCGTCTCCCAAGCCGCCCTCCGCGTAGTGATCTTCGACGGTAATGATCTTTCCCCCAACTTCTTTCGCGTTCTTTACGACCAGCTGAGCATCGAGAGGTTTCACCGTAAACGGATCGAGCACTCGAACGTACACTCCGACTTTAGCCAAGTCGTCGGCCGCCTTCAGAGCTTCGTATAAAGTTACTCCAGCTCCGATCACGAGAACTTGATCTTTCGGAGAAGATTTGACGACTTTGCCCTTGCCAACGGCGAACGGTTCGTCATTCTTGTACAAAACTGCTGTGGCAGGGCGGGAGGTTCGCACGAAACAAATACCCTTGGTATTGGCTGCCAATTCGATGGCACGTTCGGTCGCAACAGCGTCGGACGGGTAGAAAACGGTCGAGTTCGGAATCGTACGGAACATGGCTATGTCTTCAAGACCCATTTGTGACGGACCGTCTTCCCCGATCGAAACACCGCAATGAGATCCGACGAAATTCACGTTCGTTTGCGAAATAGCGCCCATACGAATCTGTAGAATGAAATAATCACGGTGTGACTCGAATTTAAGATAAACGGTCTTCCATCCGTATAGTCCTGTTTTACCTGATCAAAGGCACGAGTGAAGAAAGTAGCAAACGCGGACACGAACGCGACGGTTCTGTCCCTGCAAGCTGCACCGATCGCTACTCCGACGACGTTTTGCTCGGCGATGAAACATTCGATGAATTTAGACGGATCGACTGTCTTGATCTTGTCGGCGAACGTCGAGTTCTTCGTGTCTCCGTCCAGAGCAATGACGCGTGGGTTGCTCTTCGCCAACTACAGTAGTAAACAGTTGATAAGTCGTTATGCAAGGCGTTACTTACATATCGATGTAATTACGGGAAGAGACGCGAACCTTGGCCAAAGCGGTGCCGTAAGCTAATCTCGTAGCGACTTGCTCTCCCAGTTTGTAACTCGGAGGCGATGCCAATTTGATATTGCTAATATCTACAGCCGGGACATCGTCGACCAAAGGCTTCTGAGGATGCAGCCCGAGAGGACCAGAATTCTTCAACATTCCAGTCAGATGTTGAATGACTTCGTTCGCTTTGGTGCCCAGTGGTTTCCCATGCCAGTTCTCGAGATCTTCGATGTTAGGGAAATATTTTCCCTTGAACGTCTTCGCCAAGATAGCTGTCGGACGTCCCTTGACGCTCTGAGCTTCGTGGAAGGCCTTGGCCAACTCCTCGATGTCGTGACCGTCGACGACCAATGCGTTGAAACCGAAAGCTTCGAGCCTCTTGCGGTAGACCTCCATGTTGTGTTGAAGGGACGTCGGTTCGCTCTGACCGAGACGATTGATGTCGAAGATAGCGCAGAGATTGTCTAACTTGTAGTAAGACGAGAAGTGCAGAGCTTCCCATATCGATCCTTCCGCTGACTCTCCGTCGCCGATCAGGCAGTACACGCGGTAATTAGCTTTATCGAAATATTTTCCTACATAGGCCATTCCCGCGGCGACCGAGAGACCTTGTCCGAGGGAACCAGTTCCCACGTCGATGAAGTTAAGTCTCGGCGTAGGATGTCCTTCCAAGTCGCTGTCGAGCTTCCTCAAGTTCAACAGCTCGCTCGTCGGGAAGAGACCAGCTTCGGCCCATGCTGCAATTACACGACCAATGTTCCGTCAGTTATACCGTGATGTAACCGGTTAATGACGGGGTATAATCGACGGATGATTTACCTGCGTAAAGGATAGGAGCCGCGTGACCTTTGCTCAATATAAATCTATCGCTGTTCGGATCGCGCGGTGCAGATACCTTGTAACGCATCGTATGGAAAAATAGTACGGACATAATTTCTGCCATGGACGAACATGATGTCGGATGTCTGGGCAAAAAATATATTTAAGTAATAAACGCTAGAAGTACTTAGTTCCAAATGAGATCGTAAGAAACGTATGTTATGATAATGAGTCCTACAATCGTACTCTGAGTACCTATAGATAATCTTTAGAGGTCACGAAGTTCATTAATCTCATCATGCGAGCGTCAAATATCGGTAATGACATAGTTATGTAACATGTGGTCTGATCGGTGGTCGTTTTTTACATTGCAAATAGCAAGTCCCCACCGTTTCGTTAAAATAGATTTATCACGGTTTATTTAGTCGAACAGCATTGATTAATTTATATTAATTATAAAATCGTAGATTGACGACCGTTTCATTTCAAACGTTTCTGTTTCCTATTCCTTTCTCATTTCATACGAATCTAACGAACAATTAAATTCAAATTCAACGTAAAACGTTCAAATATTCATTTCTTCAATTGAAAATCTGTTAAGAAACCAGAACTCGTACCAAAGATTCGATTCTTATCGTAAGTACGAATAGATATTCGTAGTTTAAAAATAAAGAAACAACGGAACGAATAAAGGAGCCAGTTGTAAAATTTTTCGTCCAGATTTCTCGTACCCGCTTTTCGATGCCTCGGTCGCCCGAATACTGTCGATGCGAAGCTTATGTGCAATGTCCTGGAGTTTTTCCATGTTCGTATCACGCACCATTTCCAACTGTGATCAGTTCCTATCCGAAGTCGTTACTCGGCAAGCGTTCGATAACAACTGTAGGATAGAACATAGAACCTTTTGCGAGCGAGCAAGTATCTGCGCGGTAGGGCATCCTCCCTACTTCCTTACAAATCGGCTATCGTTCATTTCAAAATCACGTTCCCCGAGTATGGACGTGAACACGTACCTTTTTACACTCGTGTTGCTTCAAACACCACTACTATTACGCATTTTAATCGATACGATGACCGATAATGAACACTATTTTATGAACGCTATTTTATAATATCAGTACGAATTTCAAAAGCGGTAGTCATCTCTAATATTTCCTGTACATGCTCCGTTTCTTAAAATAATACCGTATATACCGATAAAAAATTATAAATTGATTCCTTCTGTTGCTGTAGAAATTCTGTAAGGCGTTGTCAAAGTAGTTATCGCGATCGAAGAGGGGAACATTCGAATTCATAGATTATGCAATCGTAGACCACATTAAATAATCTTATCGTAAACATTTCTACATTCTATGGATGTTATACGTTAACATCGTCGTATGTACGTTCGTTATATAACTATGTACTTCGTCGCGTGTACACGCTGGAATCATGCGATCTCTTATTTTAAAAACTTTCAATTCTTTGGCTGGCGTTAAGTAACCGGGCGACAATTTGCGATGAACCATTAAATCGTTAGTGTTAATTGCGCGAAGTACTTTTATAGACCACGATGGGCAATTTTAGATTGCTTGCAAACTACACATCTGTTTTGTATTATATTTATCAAGAAATTATATGAATTTGACCAAGTTGCTCGGTAGATTTTCAACCTTGAACGCATGCTTCCCGCTACGTAATCGTTATATTACGTTCACGCTTCCGCAGAAGTCTTTGTACCTCGTACTCGAAATACGATTTCAACGATTCATAGAACACAGAATGAAAAATGACGAGAAGTCTATAAATAATTATCGCACGAATCCAATTAACACTGATCGCGCAATGATGAAGATGCAATTGTAAAATTACCTTGAAATCGTGTGCCGCTACGTACGTATTTAATGAGACGTTAAAAAACGACATGGCATTAGCCGTGTCGACGAAATGGAAGAGTAAACTGTGCGATAAGTTGTCATCGTATACCGGAAGAAACTTTTGCAGAATTTCATTTTCGATGTAACATGAACCTTTAACTTCCGAAAGGAATGTAATCGTGTTCAAAGGTCGAGTAGTTAGTGAACTAAAACGAGATCAAGGTTCGTGTCATTTTGCCGAAATTTGCGCGCGATTTTAGGAGTCGTGTTTTAACATAACGTAACGATAACGGTTCACGATCGAAGATCGTCGACATTATTCATATATCATGTCGACGTACGAAGAAGACGGTTCGATGAACGAATCGTTTTACGAAATAGCTATTATAAAGTATAATACGATAGTATCACGTACCCGGACTTGCTAGCTTGTGTAGCGTTAATTGAATGAATTCTCAACTTTGTCGCGATATCCTTCAACTCTTGGATCTTCTTCGATTCCGGCTTGTGATAGTTTGCCATTTTCGTTGTAGAAATTATCGAATCGTTTCGAATATGACTTTCGGTAAAATGCTGACCACGAAACGTGTTTCTGAGCAACAAGTAGAATTCCCGCAAGCCACCGTAAGCTTGATGTAGATGGAATCTAGTCAAGAATTCGAGCTCTAAAAACTTGTCTCCACCGTGATGATACACCTTGCAGATGGCACTGTATGTATTTTTTTAATTAAATTTAATTCAAACTCAAATTTAATCCAATAAATTTATGCTATATACGATTTGCGTCAAAACTTAATTTGAGTCCAAGTACGATAAAAATTAATCAGTTAAACGTAAAAACGAATCGCGTTTAACCATCTACCGGTTAAACAATGGAACTAATCGCTGATACGTAGTTCATGAAACATTTCTGCATAACATTTCTATGTTCCTTGAAGAGGGAAACGAGGAAAGTATAAAAATATGTTTTATTTCGCACACAATTTTACATGAACAGTTGCCAATAGGCACGGGGGGATTAAAATCTAATGAATGATCCGATACCATTTTGACATATCAAACGCACGATTAATTGATTTTTACATACAAAGCATTATACTTAAAGCGATAGAGGTAGTCGCGAGAGAACGATATTCTCATCGCAGCAATGATCGAGTATTACCGTTGTATTTATTATGCGTGTAAGTACTTTTATATTATGCGAGATAGAAGGCACGTGCAAAAATTCAGGAATTTCTTGCGAAAATACTACTATACGATGGAAAATAGAATTCTTCTCTTTGGGGGGTTTTTGATGCTATACATCGAAAGGCAGATTGTAGATTATACACACGTACGTGTATGTACGAGTAGAAGCTAGTCAAGAGGTATTTAAACTTTCAACCCTGTACATTTGATATGTTCTTTTAAACAGATGAATGCCGAAATAAATAATGAGGACAAATGATGATGCGGCGTTCGTGAATACGATTATTTCTCATGCCTTTACTACAGCAGCGTCGATGTATTACTTAAAACTTTTTATTGTCACAAGAGAGAGAGAGAGAGAGAGAAAGATGAAAAGTGTTACTGTCACGCGTCTCAAACAAAAACGATTTATAGAATGAAATAACGTAGCGGGAAGAAAACTCCGGCGAGTCAATTACCTTTCTTTATCAAGCAGCATTCAAAAAATGGCTAGTGTTACGTCTAAAATCGATTATGCTTCGTTTAATTCGAACGATATTAATAAGTTATTATTGTCATATGTTGTCGAGATGTGTCTCAACGATAGCGTCTGTTCGCCCAACATTGCGAACAATAGTAATCGTTCTCCACCGAGCCGAAAAATTGACATTCTTCGTTGCGACACGCTTTAACGATACCCTGCAGAGAAGATCGTAATTATTCCACATAAACGATTAAACCGATGAGTACCTAGCTATTGTCACTGTTCCATACTTCTGGTCCCAGTTTCTCGGACGACGATTGGTCATTATAGAAAGTGGATCTCGAGAGGTAAAGTGTACGGTCTTTATTCGGATTCGTAGGTAATAATTTGCTAACGCTCGCATGACTATCTCGATCGCTGGCGGCATAAAATTTGGATTTGCCCGCACCGTAATTCATCTCAGTGCCGGTTTCGTCAACTTTATGATCCTGCAGGTACCTGTACAACGAAGTAACGATAGATTCACAGCTTCAAAAATATATGTTATGATTATACCTTGCGTGAGCACATTGAAGATAATTCTGAAGCATCTGGTCCACGTACTGATGCCGCCTACTTCTGATCTTTACGCACAATATCCCTTCTGTGGACAATCCGCCTGCTGTTGACGGCAGGCTCTTTGGTCTCTTCGTCATAGACCACAGCCTCTTGCTCACGGATTTTCCGATCGATCCGAATTGCTTAGCTACGCCCAGTATTTGCTTGGCCGTTTTCGAGAGCGAGCCGTCAGAATCTGACAATCTGTCGATCTCTTCCGGGGTAAAATTTTGATACTCGCAGTCCAAATATTGTCTCAGCAAAATTTCCATCTGGAGACGAGAACCGTATTCGATTGTACTGAACTGTTGACGTTCGTCACGTTTGTCGCGATTAAAAATGAATTACCGTGTCCTGTTGGCAGGTTAACAGGTCTCGGGAACCTTCCTCCCAATCCCAATCCGGACCCGGGTCGACCGCGAACAGAGCTGGTAACAACTGACCCGTGTCCGGGTCTATGAGAGGTATGCTAACACCTTCGTTACAGCCGTCTCCGAAATCATTCGCCCCGTCCACGGTAACGAGAGGAGAAAAATGTGCCGAATGATAAGCTAAAAGCAATGGGGTTCTATGACAACGAGCCGGAGGCACTTCTAAAGGTAAGTACACTCCACCAAACGGGATTGGCGCTAAAGCTACACCCTCTGCGTCTTTTAACATTGTTTCTGCTATAACTATAATGGGTCTCTTCAAAGCATGAGCCAAAGCTAATATATGTACCTATAAAGTTTCAACGCCTTAAAATTTTCATACAGTTCTAAACGGGTTCAGAGAGAGGAGAAATCTTACTTCTTCGAGGCTCTGATAAGAAGTAGCGGTCTGATTTCTGAAAACTGGCGAGGCCATGTCTACGAGTGTCTGCCATTCCGTCAACCACTCTGCCTCTGTATAAGACAATCCTGCAGCTGCGTTCAGCCCCGTCTGTCGCCACTTCCATCTTCGAAACAGAGCATGTCTATACTCTCCTTTGGCTAACGTGTTGTGCAAAGCTTCTCTCAACGTGAGGAGCCTATCATGGAAGCCCCACATTCCGAGGGAAGCTGCATGCAGCAGACAATTCCCATCTCCGGATGTTGCCAAGGGCCATAGAACTCTGTTATTACTATTTTTACCACCGCACCACCAATTTAGACGACCGGCAGCTTCCAGAGAAGTTAAACAACCGCCTTCTATCAGATCTTTCTCCAGGAATTGACGAAACGAGTCCGGGTACACGCTCAAATCAGGTAGAGAGAACGTGAACTCTGGGGTATCCAGGGATCCTATAGTGGCTAACTGAGAACGAGCGTAGGAGACAATAGCTGCGTTCTCAGTCGCTCTGGATATCCCTCTGGCCAGCTTCTTCGTACCTCCTCCTCCGCTTTCCGCTGAATTGTTCGAACTTGGTTCTTTCTCCAGACCATCGTAAGTAGGTAGTCCTACATTCATTACACTGCCTTATTGCACCTGCAAAGTCCGACACATAATTTCGATCGAATGAACAGGAAACTGGCCCATGGTCAAAACTTACAAACGGAACGTAGTATCTATACATATATCGACAAAAACGAAAATAGTAGAAGCGAATTAAAAAAGACAACCGAGTTACTTTGCAGAAAACAATCGAAGAAGCAATTCGATCCCGGGGATTACGAAATATTGAAAGCGAGTAAACGCAGATGCGTGACCGCAGGTCTATATATGTGTACATATAGAGTCGTTATACGTACACATGCAACTACTGTTACGCCCGTTTATTTAAAAAGAGTGCAAACCTTGGCCCGTATATTGAATTAGTGCAGCGGAGCGTGGCGGCGGAGTATCGCTAAACGGTATTCTAATTGAACTGCGTAGCACGGTCCGTTCATTTGTACTCTCATATTTCGCGTTGGGTCCTCTTTCACAGGGAGCCTCTTCTCGTTCGGAGGGTATGGAAACAACCGTGGATTTGCTCGCGATCAGAATGAAACATAACCTAGAGCGAAACCTCGAGAGTTGATAGAAGGGGCCGAGGAGTGGATCATTATTGTTGCGCGCGGAAGTCACCGTGAAACATTAAACCGGTCACATGTCAAGTCGACGAGGGGTACGCTACCGTAGTTATTTACGCAGTAACCGTCCCTGCCCACCTGCGGAGACGGATCTAATGATCTATACGATGTTCAAAACACTGGTAGCGTAATTAATTTTCAGCCGCGAGTGCGAGAAAACTGCTCGCATGAGAATTATGCATTTAGCCTTGGAATTATGCGTTGCGCATCGCGTATTATCTACATGGATGTACGTGCATTGAAATGCATTGCCATCCGTTCACGAAACGATCGACTTACCGAGCTTAGTTAGCCGGACCGTTGTTAGAATATAATCTTAATTATTGATTCCATTCAGGTCGCATTCGAACAATTGACAGAAATAAATTACTCACTTGTAATTGTGTTTTAAGTCATCGAAGGATGTTGTTTCAATTATAGAGCGATGGCAATAACCGTGTACGATCGAAGAGCAGGACTTCCTTTGGTTGATCGTCTTTTTATTCGTTGAACCTCGAACCAGTGAACGCGGAATCGAATAAACCGTCCCGACGAGAATCAAAGCATAACTCGCGCGCAAACGTAGCGCCATACGTTTACTTGTTCCCCGGCCCAGTGTTACGAATACGACGGATACGAGGAATTTCAACCGCAGCGCCGTTCGGAATAGTAAAACTCGAGCTACGGGCCGAGGGAGCAATACGCGTGTGCGTATAGCAGACTTGTGCGTGTTTGTACTCGTGTCAGTTTTGAACCTCAAAAGGTTCGTCTCGTCTTTCGCCGGAAACGAAAAAGAGAACCGTCGGTCGTTCGCCGGCAATAGCTCAACGTTCGCGTACGATAGTCAGGCGAGGCGCGATTAACGACGATGAACAATTACGCGGTATACCTGGTGATCTTTCTGTCGGTTGATCTGTCGATTCTATTGGGCCACGTAGCCGGCTCGAAGGTGTTACAAATTCGTGGCATACCGGTTGCAAAGAATTCGCTGTATTCGGCGGACCGGGATTTTCAGTGCCTCGACGGTAGCCTGTTAATACCGTTCGCCCAGGTAAACGACGATTATTGTGATTGCGCCGATGGTAGCGACGAGCCAGGTACACCTGCGTGTACCAATGGCTCGTTCTACTGCGAGAACTCCGGTCACAAGCCACGTTACATACCTTCGACCTGGGTAAACGACGGGGTATGCGACTGTTGCGATGCAAGCGACGAGTACAGCTCGGGCATGGAATGCCCGAACAATTGCAACGACCTCGGGAGAGAGGCCAGGTTGGAGCAGCAAAAAGCGGAGGAGTTGATCAGGGAAGGCAACAAGATAAGAGTCGAAATGATTGCCAAGGGCAAACAGCTTAAGACTGATTATCAGTCGCGTTTGATCAAGCTGCGCGCAGACTACGAAGAAGCCGAGCTGATGAAGAAAGAGAAAGAATTGCTCAAGAGTCAGGCGGAGGAAAGGGAGAACGCGGCTTTGGAAAAGTACAAGCCTGCTGAACCTGAGCAACCTGCTGCTGAAGATGGAGAGGAGGAGGAGGAATTACAGGAATACGACGCTGAAGATTACTTCAAGGTCTTGGACTCTGACAACAGTGGTACCATATCAGTTGCGGAGCTCCAGACCAGAGTCACTTTCGACAAAGACAGGGATGGAGTGATCACCGAGGAAGAGGCAATGTTCTTCTTGAACAACAAGAAGGAAATTGGTGTTCAAGAGTTCGTAGAATCGGCATGGTCGACCATCAAGCCGTTCTTGATGTTGGAACAAGGTTCGCTACCTCGACAGACAATTCTCTGTATCTCCGTTTCAATTATCACGATCACTTTTCATGATTCGTTTCAGGTGTGTTTAAATCGGCGGATCAGAAGGAAGGATACGAGGAGGATGACCACGATCCCGAAGAACAGACGGAACAAGATAAAGAAGAGGACGATGGTACCGAGGAAGAGGCAGGAGATGCACAGGAGAAACCAGAAGAACCTCCAGTGCAATACGATGAGGAAACGCAAGTCCTGATCGACGAAGCGACGCAAGCCCGCGAGAATTTCCAAGCGGCCGAAAAGTCCGTGAGTGAGTTGCTTACAGAGATCAGAAAGCTCGAGGAAAAATTAGATCGCGACTACGGCGTCGATCAAGAATTCGCGCCTCTCGACGGCGAATGTTTCGAGTACGAAGACTTGGAGTACGTGTATACCTTGTGCTTATTCTCGAAAGCCACGCAGAGATCAAAATCCGGTGGTAGCGACATAATCTTAGGTCACTGGTACGATTGGAGCGGATCGGAGAGTGAGAAGTATTCGAAGATGAAGTACGATCGCGGCCTCACCTGTTGGAACGGACCCGCGCGTTCCACGATGGTCAGCTTGGTTTGCGGCAAGGAGAATAAGTTGATCTCAGTCACAGAACCGAGTCGGTGCGAATACGCGATGGAGTTCTCCACACCGACGCTCTGCAATCCTGGCATGGTGGCCACCGATACACACGACGAATTGTAAAACATCGAGTACGCGCTTCCTACGATTGTGCGGCTTACAAACGGTAGGGATAAATAACGAACCGCGCCGATTAATTTGCGGAGGTTTCATTGATCGCGCGTTGCACAATTTTTTCCGGCAAATCAAAGATGAGCAAGGCCTTGGATGGAGAGCCTAGTCAACCCCTAATAGCGTTTACGTATAATGATAATTCTTTCGTCGATCGAATGATCCGCGGTCGGTTGTTTATCCTTACGCTCAAATTTCCCTCGTCGTTTTATTCGTGCATTGAGCAAACAGAATTCGCGTACCGATAACGTCGCGAGTGAGTGGTATCGGTGAGAAACCAGTTTGCTTGAACGGTAGAGAATGTTTGCCGAGGGACAGTTTTAATATCCGTGAGTAATAATAAATCGATCGTTCGTCACGCGGTCATTGCCAACGTATCGTGTCACTGTCACATACATTCCTCTTTTTGTACGAGGTAAATTTCTACGAAGGCGTTACCCGAAGACACGACGACGCGGTCTACGGAACATCGTGGAGACGGACTAAAACAATTATACACCTGCTGCACGAACACGCATCACACATGCAAGAGTGAAAAAATGATTCGGTGTAAACCGTTTTACAAATTTTTAAATCGCCACTCGTAGAAATTGTATTTAGTGGGTCGAGGCTGTCGAGGTATTTTATAATTTTCTAAGGATGCGCCCGTCTTGTCACGAGCCATCGCAAAATGTGAATTTAATAAAGAGAAAAAGAATTCTGTTGTCCAACTGTAATTACAATGGCAGCTTTATTTACATTGTAATGGAAGTTTTTTATTCTCTCTCTCCCTCTCAGTGTCGTGTGTGTATGTATATATATATATATGTATATATATATATTTATATATTTATATCTCTCAGTTATGCGGGTTCTTAAACTTTATAGTATAATGGTTAATTTCAATCCGCTATTTGTATTTCATTAGTCTAACAACCTATGCATACTTTTTGGATTCTGAGACGTTCACAATTAACTAGACAACTAAAGAAAAGGATACGATGATCGAGGGAGGGTATGAGGGGTGATAAACGTTCTTCCGCGCGATCTGTTCAACTCTCGATTCCTCGGTACTTCGTTAAGGCACTTAAAAGACTGAAAAGAAGTATCTCGTCTTTTGCGCGTGGTTCCGTACGCAAGAGGAACGATACGCTCCAACGTGTTTTCCGCACCCCTAGATGATACCGCTTTTTCCCTTTTTAAGAAGACGATAGGTTCTCAACGTGGAATGTATCATCCCATTCGTTGATCGATGATCAAAGAATAGGTACAGAAAAGAAAGGGATACGTTCATGGTACGGATCCCGATTTCACGTGGATCATCGGATCGATATGGAAAGGCAGCGTTCTTCAAAAATCTGTCAACGTCTCTAGATATGAACTATGTTCTCGTTAACGTACCCTGTGTTCGTTCGAGCTATACTTTCCTCTCTTTTTTTCATGCGTACCATTTTTGTTCGGTCGTGCCCAACTCCATAACGGAGGTTTCTCTTCGTTATTTACACCTGTAGAAACAGGAAATGCTACTGCCTAAGAAGCTACTGTACAACGAGAAATACTAAGCGCTTCTAACACGAGAAAAACTTGTAAAGCATGAACTCACGATCGTATACTCGCGCTTGCGATATCGTACGCCGCCTAATACTGCATCCGGTACGCAACCGCGAAATCTTATTGCGTTCCGGTGGAAAATAAACGATCGCAACGAAGGGGAAATGAACTAGTTCGCGATCCGAAGCATTCTCAATCTTGGAACGTAAAATATCGATTCTCTGCTCCCTTCTTTCTCTCGTGCTTGCGAAATGAACACGCGAAGTCATGAAAAAGATCGTAAAAAATTGAACCAAATTAATTTACGTTATTGTCCTTTGGAATCTTCCACCAGCCTTCTTCGATCTACGAATCAAATTCGTATACGGTATACGGTATAAAAAAATGTAGCCAGGAAAATGAGGCCTTTCTTCGTACGGGTCCATTCGGCAGGCCAAAATTAATTGAACGATACATTTGTTCGATGATTGCTCGACTTATTTCCCGAGCTTTTCGAACATGATCAGTTTCTCCTTGAAACTCTTCGTGTCCGTGGACACCTCGGATATGTTGCCGTTCAACATATTCTGAAGGTCCTCGTCGTTCTTGCTGACGAGGAGATTGTCAAAGATCATCTTGTTGTCTTCCTGTTTCGCGACTGGCGAGGTAGGCTGAGACGTCGTGATCTGTTGCTTCTTCTTAGGGTAAATCACAGAGCTTCGTTGGTTGTTGCCGTTGTCGGCCATTCTGGTAACTATAGTGATCGCCAGCAGCTGATGGATATCAATGTTCTCCTTCGATTCCGACGACTGACGCCAGTAGAACTTGTCGGGTGAGATCAACGACTTTGAGTCCTCGATACCGTCCGCCGCAGAGATTTCATCCGAATGCGACGTCACCATGTTCTTGTTCCAAGAGTCCTAAAACAAATAAATAGTATCAATGGTTCGATAATTCCGTTCCAGATCTCTTAAAAATAAGAATCAGAGGAACTTACGTTCTTCTCGCGTCCATCTGCAGCGTCCGCGAGGTCTTCCTGTTTCCTATCTTGATCCAGATCTCGTTCTAAACTGTCCAGAGTCTCGGTACTCTCCGAGGATTTGTTCCTTCTCTCAGAGTCCAAGGTGTCCGTGCTACCGAGCTCGGAACTCTCAGACGATTTCTGTAGCCTGGACGGCTTCCTCACCGGGATCGGTCTCTTCTCCTCCTCTTGATCATCCGCCGGAACGATGTCCACGTAACTCGTACTGGGTATTCTCTTCGGTGTCTTCCTGATCCTCCTGTTCTCCAGCCTATCGTCCGCCTCGAAATTGTCCGAGCTCTCAGACGACATTCGTTTCGAGGATCTTCTACGATTTCCGAAACTATCCCTGACGTTATCCTCTTCGTCCTTCGGCTCGCCGATCTCGATCCTCTCGAAACTCTCCGAAGATTTTGATATGCTCTTTGACGACCTTCTCCCTCTGGCCAAATTGATATCGGAAACGCTGCTCCTTTTCTGGAGCTCCTGAACGGACTCCGTTCCGATTTGCGATTGTTCCAACATGTCGAAACTCTCAGACGATTTGGACATGTTCTTAGACGAGCGGCGAGCGCGGAATTCGAAGCTGCTTCTCCTGCGTTCGATGGACTCGTCGCTGACGAGCGCCTCTATGGCTTCTAGGCTGTCTGACGATTTGGACACACGGTCCGTCGATTTTGAGATCGGTGCTAGCAGTCTTCGCGTCACGGGTTTCGTCTCCTCGTACTCTGTCAACTTGTCGAAGCCCTCCGACGACTTGGAGAACCAGCACGGAGACGGTTCAAGGCTGTCAGGTGATTTTGACAATCTATTCGAGGATCTTCTTCGCGGCAGCTTTGACTCCAACTCCTCGAACATGTCCGTATTCTTTGGCATTCGGTTCGAAGACTTCCTGGCAATAGGCTGTGGTGGTTCCTCGTTCGCTTCGCTCGACCTCGACGGCGACACGGCGTCCAAACTGTCCGGGGATAAGGAGGCCATGCTCGGTTTCCTCGGGAACTTCGCTTCCATCTCCTCGAAGATGTCCGACGTGCGGGATAATCGGCTCGACGATTTCCTCGTGACAGACACGTTCTTCGGTTCCGTTGGCGAAGACGCGGCACTGTTCACGCCAATCTGCTGATCTAAACTGTCCAACGAGTCCTCCGCGATGGTCGTGATCGTCGACGAGGACGTATTGCCTGTCTGCGAACCAGTCCGCTTCGGAGGCCTCCGGTTCTTAGGCCGCACAGAGATTCGGTGATGCGCTGCCGTGTGGTTCAAACTGACGGTCTCCAGTTGCGCTGTTTAAATAAAGAAACGTCATTCGTCATCGTGCACGATCGATCATTAAATTATCTCTGCCTCGACACTCACGTAAGTCTTCTTTGGTCACGGTGACCACTTGATCGACCGCATCCTTTGGCGATTTTGAGCTCTGCGAAATCAATACGAATTTCATTCCGGGATTTAAAATAAGGGGGTTGTGCAGTACAATGCGACGCCAACGACTGATTTTAGACGAACGACATCGTTAGCTTTCAGCTTGGTGCATCGGCAAACCGCGACGCGACGGTCTGTAACGGTATTATCGGGACGAGCAAGTGCGGCCGGTTAACCGCGATGAGCGCGAGAACCGGTTGCCACTCGTCTCAGGAAGAGACGCTTCATCGAGAAAAAGGCTATCGTTCGCGCTACCGCGTTTGCTACTCTCTCTCCCCCAAGTGTCTCACAAATTACAGTATAAATCGCGTGATAAACTGTTACGATAAATCCACTCGTGATAATTAGCTCGTAGCGACTAAAGGTTCTCCCTATCGTGTTACTCCGAGATTGACTGGAACGCGATCGACGGATCCATTACCTCGATCTCCTCGATCGCGTCTTTGATCACAGGCGGGATTCTCTGTCTGGTTTCCGGCTTCGAGCGTGGTCGATCCTCGATCCTGCACGAAGCCCTGACAGATCCCTCCGTTTCCTCTTCCTCCTTCTCCTTGTCCTACATCGTTCAAGATACTATAGCCACCGATTCTATCGCGTCTCTCTATTTAAGATCACGCGGGATCGATTACCTCGATCGTGTCTTCGACCCGTACGTTGGATCGGTCTTTCGTAGCCTCGGGCTGACAACGACTTCGTCTGCTCTGCGGTTTCGGTCTCGTCTCGATCTTGCACGCCGATCTCAACGATATCGACCCTCTGTCCTCGACCTTGTCAGAGATTCACGCGACGCTTTATTAAACGAATATAAAAGAGTAAGCGATGTCTAAGCTTCGTCGAGTCTCATTAGCAAAATTATTTGACTCGACGAATCAACAAGCGGATCATTAATGTGCGAAACTAAGATCGTACACGGAAGCGAGTAAGTGGGGATCGGGGGCTAGTTTCTTCGTGTACCTCCGTCGGAACATCTTTGTCGATCGGGGCGAGGATCTTTTGCTCGATTTCCTGTTTCGGTCTCGACCGATCCTCGAAGTTGCACGCGCGCCTAATCGGGCCCGGTATCTCGTAGCCGACCTTCTCCCGGCACCCGTACACGCCGATGCTGATCTTCGCCCCGGGCTGCACGCCCTGAAAACTCTTGTCCTGCTTGGTCCGGTCGATCAGGCGCCTCCTCTCCACCGGGTTTAAGTTCAGCTGTTCGATTATCGCGCGAATATTCGACGATATGCTTCCCTCGCGATGCGACACCACCATGATTACGACCTTTCTCGTCCGCGAGATCTACCGATCGGGATCGTCGCTGTTAAAGCGATTTCGAGCCGATCTCATAGGATTCTGCAATTTCATCAACTGTGTGACTCTCTCTCGACGGATGATAAGAAGCAATTTCGTTTGTTAAACGTATACAGAACAATCGGGCTCGTCCTTAATTGCGTGTTAACGATCGCGCATAGTTTTCGCACTTAGCGTATTCGCTTTTCTCAGGATTTCACGGAGCTCGTCCTCCTTTCGTCTAAAGGCCTCGGGGACCGTTTTCCCACGCGACCTTCTATGTTCGAAACACCTGGTTTTCGTGCCAGGTACCCGATCACCCGGCCAACAGAAAACGCAATGTACATCGTAACGTTGAAGTAAAGGAAATTTTTTTCACGATGCTTCGCAGTAGGATCAGACGGCGCTCCCGGGATTATTTCTCATTGCAAAATCCAGGCCAAAGACGTGCCCACGTCGCGAGCGGCGCCCACGGTGTTTGCCCGACACCTTTCCTCGAATCTCGATTGAGAAGTTTCTATCGCGAATTCTCTTTACACCGATTGGAATCGGAAACTGGTCGAGATCAAAGTTCCATTACTAAACTCGTTCGAATACTTCTATAAATATCCCAGGTGAAGAGAACGTTCGATTTTCAACACCTTCGCGATCGATCCGCGTTGCGAAACCCCCGGCGTACGTTGTCTTCGGTCACACCTTTTCGCCACCTGCGCACGAGATCTGTCCACGATTGCGTTTCAACCGGATACGCGGCGAGCCCGACGGAAATTGCGGAATATAATAATACAATAATTTTCCAACGGAGAAGAGAAAGTGACGCGAAAACTCGGACCCGGTTACGCAATAAAACGCGACCGGTCAGCGCCACTGTTACTACGGTATAAACGAATGATCAGCTGAGACACCTTTTTCCGCACGATGAATCAGCCTCGCGTCTGTTATCCAGGTATGGAAGGTCGATCGAAGCCTGACTTATTTTGGACATCGAATAAACTTTTGGAACCAACGTACAGTCGTCGCGTCTATTCGATAAAACGAGTAAAAATCCTTTTTAAAAAGCGAATGGCTGGATTTGGTAAACTTGTTACGAGAGCGTAACGAGGCTCGTTTTACCTTGAAGAAATTGCAGACCCTAACGCGACAGCACGCAACGTTCGGGGGAAGGCTACCGTTTTGGGGAGAGCGCGATGAATCAAGCCAACTCGTACCTCGCGTAGCCATGGGGATCATCGATCAAACTATCGCGATTATTTATCAGCAGAACGAAACGTTCTAGCACACTTGGATATTCCATTCTACTGATTTACTCGTCGGTACCGCGACCAGAGATCAATGACGTTATCACTTTGGACGGAGAGATCAGCATTGACATTTCAACGCTCCAGATCCGAGGTCCGACCGCGGGCCGATCCATCAGCGATTCCGTCGTTCCTGGCAGGCCTCTGGCTCAGCCGGGTCCGACGCGTATCTTATTGTGCCATCATTCTCAATTTGCTTTATCGTCCGCGAGCGCGCGCCCACCGTTACTTCTCCTCACGCGATCCGAGTTTCGCTTTTTCAAACGGGTTTCACAGCTTCTGTGTCCCTTATACCGATATTAAAAAACGACGGGAATCTACGGTCGTCGAGAAAATTTGAAAATAAGTCTCGTGGAAATGGAAAGTAGAATCGGTATCACGGTCGATTTTGCAATAGTCGTATTTCATTAGCGCGCTCGGTTTTCCTTTCTATCCAACGATTCGACTCCGCGAAAGAATTCGCCTTACGATCACCGCGGAAGCTCGATCACTTTTCCTGATTCTCCTAGACGAAGTCTCGTTTGAACTATGATTAGCGATAGCGGTCGAACGCTCTCGAGGTTCGGCGTTAACAGGATGTTGGAAATCTGGCACGCTACACACGAGCTCGCGTTTCCGTGGCATTGTCACGCGACAGAGAGAGGGAGAAAAAATATACGGAAAGAGAGAGAAAAGTGGGAGAGAGGGATACGTAGAAAATGAACCGTGGCTCGCGTGAAAACGCATCGAGAGCGTGATTTCACTGCGGAATCTCGTTCTACAAAATTGCCCTCTATCACGTGCGTCGCGTCGCTTCGCTGGGAACCGATAATGAACCACGATTAGCGATCTCGCGTTTTGTTCTATGCCTTCGTGACGCGTTCCGTCGTTTTAACAACAACCGCAATACCAGATAGCAATATCGTCATACGAAAGAAAGTCTAAAACGAGTCAGGGGCTCGTCGTATCGAAGTTTACATTGACACACGCTCGAGTCGTTGAGCGATTGAACCAGAGACAAGATAAACGTCCTGATTTCTACTGGCTCAAGATCGTATATAAAAAAAAAACAGTGAGAAATCGTGACGAGAACAGAAATTGGGAGATTCACTGTACCAGCGTTTAGAGACGAAGACTAAAAATGAATTGGCAGAAAAGAAACGAGGGGTGCGATCGTAAGATCTGCTTATGACTTCGGTCACGCGTCCTCGAGAACTCGTTTCGAGCGAAAGAGAACTGGGCCCGACGTGGTGCCACACGATTCGAAACGAAGTCTAGTTCTCACGACGTTTGAGGCGTTTCGTCACACGCGGCTAATTGCGACCCCCTAGGATTACAAACGACCAAAGGCTCTTTCCCGGTTTCCCTTTTGCCCCTGAAACGTTGGAACGTATACATGACCGATGTCAAGCGCAATTTTGATGCGTGAAACTCTCCGAACAAATGCGCGTACTTTTTTTATAAGAAAGTGATCGATTAAATGCAATCGCGATCGTTTTATAAATCTGCACTATGGTTTCACCCGTCAGATAGTTTCGAAAGCTAGAACGAAGTGGCCGAAATCAAACGAGGGTAACGCGAGATTCAGATGAAAAATCGTATAACTATACCTCTAGCCCGTGAGCCGTGATCTCGTTTTCCACTACGAGATATCTGGCCAAAGTTACTTTCAAACGAACCGGCGTGCCTTGTATGGATTTTCGGAATTAAACTCAAATTTCTGTATATCCATTGACTTTCACTTTCGTTGAACAGCGAGAAATGAACAGCGCGTCAGTAGGAATCCTTGAACCAGGAATCCTACCGATGCCACCGAACGGTTTTCTTTACGGTTCTCGCGAGAAAATCCTAGCAAACGTCGAACAACCGTATTCACCTCAGCTCATAAATATTTAAATCGCGGATGGATCCGCGGAGTCAACGACACCGGTAACAAACGTAACGTGGCCACCGTTCGCTAAACAAATAGCAATTGCTGATTCCAGCGGTCGATCTCGTCGACCCGGAAGGGGGATCGTTTCGCGGGCAGTCGAGCAAGAACCGAGCAACGTTTCCTCACAATCTTTCTAACCATCTGTACGCGATCCCCGTTTACGATCCTTAGAAGATTCGAACCGCGAGATGACACGGAAAGATACCGAAACGTTGAATCGGAATACGACAAACTCTGTTACAAAATTGTAACAAAAAGAAGGCAGGAGGAGGAAGAGAGTTCGTTCCGTCGAGTGCGTCTGCGTTTACTGAACCGAAAGAGGAAGCACGACGAGCGGAGGAAGCATGCTAATTTCCATCGTGCTGACATCGAGAGTTCATCCGATCCATCTGCCTCGGAACTGGCCGATCGATCCAGCCGCAGAACGCGTTTTACACCCTCGTGGGAATGCGATTGCGAATCGTTTTTATTAACTTTCTAAAGAGCCGGAACAAAAATTATGTATAATGTAAAATGTATTATGTAAAAATAGGAATAAATATTGGTAAATAATTCGTGTGTCTATACGAATATGTACGTTGTGCTTTTGTTGCGAGACAAATTTAACGGGTTTAAGCCGAATTGTTTTAATTATTGAATCGCGGAAGAACCGCGTGGACGAGCCCGAAAGAAAGTCTGCCAATTTCCTAGTTACACAGTTCTCGCTTCTTATCATCCTCGATTACGTGTTTCAATGGATAAAAGACTCGCTAATTGAATCGCTTATCTGTTCAAGTATAGGTTTCTCTTCGAAAAGAATGCGACAGCCAAGTCGACCAGATAAGATTTTTCAGAGAGTCACCTTTCGAATGAATTCTGATGATCGATCACAGAAATACCGTGAGTATTGAAGGCACTGATCAGATCATTTCCATGGATGAAATGCACGAATCAAGGTTGCACACTTGAACATGCACTGTCCACCGAGATACGAATACTTATTTCACCGTCGATCACCAATTATTTCCAAGCATGACAACCTTGTCGATTCGGAATCACCATGGAACGGTCGAGAGGGTCTCGCGAACCGTTCGGCCGAGGTGAACGCAAGATTCGAACTGAACCGCCTCGACCTTCGCGTACGGCACCGATCGATCGAAAAGTAGGCGAGGGAAGCCCTTTCACGCGAAGCCAGAAATGACGGCGAGGCGTAGAAAAGGCGCGTGTCGCACCCGCGGGAAACGCTTTGTAACTGCTGCGCCGCTCGGCTCGTGCTCTGCCCGAGACTATTCCTTCTCTGCCGGTGCGCTACTCGGTGACTCTCGGCCCTGGTAGAAGTGGAAATGCCGGTCGTTCGAGCAGGCACAGGTGACAGGGACGTGATTGCCCGATTGAGCGCCCACGATCGACGATAATAAAAAAAACCGGGAAGAGACCGGGAGGTTTTTCAATTAGAAACATGATCGACGGTTTCTGAACGTATCGCATAATGTGGCGAACCTCAATCTCTGACGCTCTGTTTCGTCTTCGTCGAGTCACGTAACCGAGGACCGACGACCCCCGGAGAGGAGGATGCACCAGGAGATCTACGAGGAATCGGACGAGCGAACGCGATAACGGTGCTACTAATCTTGCTGCTTGCCAGCTGTTTGAGTACCCATGATTTTCTCCCTCCCGTCCTGTTACCTAGACATTCACTTCGACCCGACGAAACGTTTCGACACCGCGAGAACGTATACATATATATGCATGCACTTTTTCGCGGAGAACAACGCGGGGTCGCTTTCTAAAACGGTGTGCGCGTTCACACTCGATCGGACGACGGCGTCGTTACATTTTCCTCGCCGGGACTGACCTATCGTAACCGTTCCTTTCTCGTCGCTGCCACTTTCATAACGGATAAGCGTTAACAAATAAAATTGTTGCTATCCTCATAGATCTCTCGAACACGTCGCAATCTCGCGTCTTATGTAAGGAGCTGAAGCGTTTAGCAACTAAAAAGACGAAGCTCGAGAAACAGGAAATTCTGGAAACAGTGGCTAGGCTGCGCGCCTACGAAAGACAAAGAGTTCCATCGTTTCTTTTCCTTTTACGACGTCGATAAGAAGACCCACGTATGAAATTGCGTAAACCTGTTGCGTCGGTGAAACCACCGTGAATTTCGGAACATCCTGCGATCGTGACGAGCTTCCCTGACAGATCGACGACGATAGAATTTATTTTCAAAAGGAGGATACGGACTCGAAAATTCTGACCGCGATCTGCTGGAACGTACAGCTTTTGTTACGCGGCGGACTGTTTGATGAGGTAACGGTACCACGGTCCTCCGACGATTTCTAAGGATTCCATCGGCCTTGCACGCCACTCCGAAGGCGACGCATTACGATAAATGTCAAGCAAATACCAAACTGGCTTACAAATGCCAAACGCAGTAATCCGATACGTTCGTTCGCTCTTTTCCTTGATCGACAGAACGAATTCTCGTACGTCACCGCAAATGTTAAACTTCATCAATCATCGTTCGATTCCAATAAATACGAGAAGCAAAAATTGAAGTACGCGCTACTGCTGAACAGACTCTGTTTCTCAAGTAGAAAGGGAACTCTTCTAGTCAGGCGCAGCTACTGCAGTATTGCCGACCAGGCGACCACGCTCACAGCGGTCTGCCTTACCAGAAACGACTGAAGCTACTAGCTCGTATATTACCGACTATTCTACTGCGGACTGCCGTCGAGAATGCAGACCTCTTCCACTGCCACGGTTCCACAGACGTTCATATATCCGAGATGTCGTTGAAACCGCCTTTCGAACTCGATATCGTCAAACTCTTAAAATTTGATTCTAATCGCATAAACACAGAGATCACACCGGAGTTTGATCATTATTACGATTGGAATCTACAATATAGTTTATCAAAAGGGATTCCCGATGAATCGAAAGCGAGCCGGAGAGCATGCGATGACTCGAACTTGGACATAAGCGTTCGGGGGCCAAGTAACGGTGAACGGGATACACTGTCCTATTCACTGCGCGTTCGCTCTCGTACGTTTTTCTCATGTTACTTCCAATATAAATGAATTACACGTGGAACCGTTTTTATATATCATATATGAATGATGATCAGATTTCCTGAATTACTTTTCCTTTGTCTCTTCGAAAACGACACGTTGCCTCGCGTTACTGATTTTAAGATGAAGACACGGGCTACTTTTACGAGACGGTTTAAAGTAAACGAATAAGCGCAACCCAGTTCTTTTCAGCTCGAGACGTGTTCGTGGAAGCGGACGAGTTCGATTCGTGCACGGGTGCGGGCACATTGTTTTAACGGTTTGTCGTGTGTCGCGAGGCGGAGACAATAAAAGTAGCGGAGAGGTAGAGATTCGCGGTGGAAACAGCCGGAAATAATAGCGATGCGGGCCTCGAACGTGAGAATGAACCGACGCGACGCGGCGGAACAACGAGAACGCGGCCTGTAAAAGGGACGTAAAACACTCTGTCAGCGATCGTGGAATCTTCTTTCGCCAACCGAAACGATTTTGTTCCCATAGATGTTCGTGCCTTGGAAATTCGCACGACGAAACGCGCAAGGTCGAGGTATTCTCGTTTTATTACGCGGTCAAAAGACCGTCGTCAATGAAGTTCTCTGTTCGAGAAATATTTTCCCGACGTTGTTGGCGTCGCATTTATGAATAAGCGAGAAGAATCGAGTCCCTATCGGTCACCGTTCGCCACCTGTTGCCCGCAGAAGTTCAACGATAATGATTTACGAGTCGAGAACGACCAAGAGAGACAGAAATTCTTCTCTCTCGGTACATCGAGACGGATGGCGTAACCGTGATCGACGAGGATCTTGAAAATCAAGGAATAGTTTTACCTTGGCTTGGTTCTCCTCTTCGGTCCTCTCGTGCTTCTCGACGAAATGGTTCTGGAAATCGAACAAACCGGAAATTAATGCTCCCGAGAGCCGAGAAGACCCGAAGAGGCTCTATCACGTTAATTATGTCGACGCGAAGTGACGCTGTGGATTCATCGATTCGATTCGTGACTAATGATCGTCCGTCCTTTTCTCGAAAATAACGTCGGTCGTTCGAAACGTCATACGTCGGCGATTGCAAAATCGAAATGATGCAACGTACGAAAGTAACTGTAATAACGCGAGATCTACGTGGATCAGAAATATCTGAAACTCTCTCTCAAGAGAGAAAGTTCGCTTACCGCAGCTTTCCGAAAATTAGATACGATCGTCGTCAATGCCAGGAATTTTCGCAGGAATTTCCCCGCATACTCGCTGTCTTGGCTCATTACGTCCGATCGATCGATTCGATTATATTTCAAGAAACGCGAAACCGATCAGTTTTGGGCCAATCACCGAAACGACGAGTAACAATGTTTTTCAACGCGAGGGAATCCGTAGCGCGATGACTAGCGCGCATCGCGAATGCTACTGCGTGTCGCGCCGATATTACTCGGAACAAAAGAGTCGCTATCTTACCTCGCCGGTTTCCTGCTGATAACGTTCACTGGCAGCCTGAAACGCAAAAACCGTGCGCGATCTCAGATCGTATAGAATTGACGATGCCTAACGCGAAATCTGATCCTTCGTTACATCTTACATAAATCACTTTTCAAGACTCTTACGATCTTGTAAGGATCTTAAATGCGACATCAAACGGAATTGACAAAAAATTGATCACGATGAGACATGAATTTATAGACCCATCGTATCTGTGTGGAAGTCGAAATCAGATCTGACGGGTGTCATTTTTCACCGAGATTTAATAAGACGTCTTTGAACTTACATGAACGACGTTTGCGTTGTCCGACGAGGCCGCCGAGGCTAGCTGGTTCCGGTTCTCTATGACCGTCTTTATTTGCTCCAGTACCTGCGAACGGATCGCGTCAATATGTAGATATTGTTTTAATTTGTAATGTCGTCGTATACTCCTAACCGGTTGCCATTGAAATTGAGTTTACGACTGCTTCGAATTTAACTGTTGTAATGAATTGTAATTATTTTTATTTTGTTTTCTGTAAACCCCGCAGCCCAGATTTCAACTCCGTCGTCTCTATTAAAACGGCAATCGAGAGAAAAGAAAAATAAAGAAGCCGGTCTCTTTTTCCACAAAGAGCTTCCGTTTTTAACCAATACTTTAACGGATTTCTGGAGTCTCATTATATTTGCTCGAGGGACTTTATAAAGGAGAAAAGTTGCCCGATGTCGACTGGGTTAACGAGTGTGCAAAAGAATCTTTACCCGCAACGATATCCTCTGCGCCACGTGCTGATTGTACTCCTTATGCTCGATCTCGTTGCTCTTTCTAGACTGTCTCCGCTACAAACAGAATCGGAACACTCTCGTCACGAGACGTCGTAGCTTCTCTGTCTGAGTACTTACACAGACCGAGTCAGTAACGAACAACAAGATGTTCATTATTATTGCAGGGTCTCGCAAATGAAATTCTAATTGTAAACCGTCGGAACATCTGTAAGAATGATGTTCATTTTTACTGACTCGCTCTGTATAAATGCGGTTTTTCACGAGCCTGAAAACGACTCTCGTGGACTTTCCTCGCGTATTAGAACGGAACGAGCAAGGGCGGCACTTATTCTCAGCTACTAGAAACGATGGGATTCAACCAGTTTCGGAAAGGAACGCTTGTTTCTTGCTTTCAAACGCTGTCCATTCTAATTTACGGCTAACAAATGATTTTAATCCAAAATCAATTTATAAAATGAAATCTGGTTTGATTATATAGATTCAGAGTCAATCAGGAAAATTGGGGTAAGGATCGTTTGACCAGAGGCGCGAGATCGCGCGGTGTAGGAATTGGAAGACGAGTCACGGAGAGCCGATCGTGACATGCGTAACCCGCCTTAACTCGATTCACGCGTGCCCTGTCCAGAATGCTTAATACCGGCATTACGTTTATTGGATAACGAGAAACAACGCCTCTTTTACTGTTTATCGTTCCCCCGCTGAAATTACATCGATTACCATGAATCGACCATGCGATTTTTTTCAGACACATCGCGCATTGATTTTCTTCGACAAAAAAATGAAACGGATATCGTGCCCATCTTCTGCTTCCGGGAAACGAGGAGCCGATTGAGCGCACGCTGCGTCGTAATAGTGTTGCAAATTTTACGATAATCGTGGTATGTGATAAACATACGCTCGGTATTTTACTAAATAAAGAAGGGATTACGAACCTCGAGGGTAGCGAGGCTGGTTAGCGAAGAGAGAGGCCTGGTGTGAGGTACCTCTCCGGGGAAAACACTGTCGTGGGACACGGACAGTTTCCCGGCTCCGCTACGCAGCTTCGCAAACGAATCTTCTGCACCTGTTCGCCTGAGGAATACGCTGTAAAACAAAGGCAAAACGAAATATCGTTACCCCGGGAACCAGTTTATCAGTCGCAGAAGAAAAACTAGCTCGAGGGAACTGGCTCGGCAAGTAGCAAATGGCAACTGCTTAATTATTGCTAATAAGTATTACCGAGTCATAGGAAATCGCTGTGTAACGCGAATATTATCAAAAGGTGTTTGAAACGACAATTTTTATACAGATATAATTTTCCAGACACTAGTTGTATAGAAGTTTCCGGATACCATTTTTATAATAGTTTTAAGTCGCTATGAAAGTCGAGGGGATCATTCGCGATCGAATCAATCCAAGCGTGAAACGACTGGTCGACTTCAATCAGAGCCGCGAAAATGAAGGACAGTAGGTCAGGAGCGGTGTCGTGCGTGTACGAGTTCAAATTCACGCTAAGCTGGACAGAAAAAAGCTAAAACTTAAGCACGGCCGATGCGGGCCAAGGATATTGGGAAACTTTCCTTCCCAAATCGCTTGCGAAACACCGATGAGTCAATAAGCTTTAGTTACACGAAGGAGGAGGACGAATTTATAAATAAATGGCCAAGCGAATAAAATAGCAATGTTTCGTTCGATGATATATTTACTGTCTTAAGAAACGGTGAGACTTCGAAGTCGTCAGCCTCCTCTTTGAACTGTAACACCCATACAACTTCTGCTCACTTTCCTTTTCGTTATACGCTATGTCGATCGAGGTATTAGAAGCCCGGTATCAAAGACTCGACG